TATTGAAGTTGAATGCAGCTCAATCTCTTAGTAAATACATTGTCTGATTTCTACCAGTATTTAAAACTTTTTCGATACGATTTTTACAGAAAATTCAAAAAGTTAGAGAAAGATAAGAAAATGGAAGGTGAAGTTTAAACTTCATCTTATATTGGAGAAACTCTTAAGTTTAAGCTAAAATCAACAGATATTATTGATATTTCCGACACATCTTTAAAATATCGAATAAACTCTTATATTTCGTCCAAACTAATGTTTGACAATCCCTAAAATTTCATTTTAAATTTCCATCATTTACATCGAAAGCAACCAATATCGATACTAATATTTGATGTAACAACTCGTCTCTAATTTTACGATTTTAATATTTTTAAAGAAGTGAACTAACGAAAATGGTCCTCGAGTCCAGATTGTTGACTTTCGTTGATCATCTTTTCGTGGTGTGTACAAGCTACTATTTTACCGTATTTTCGAAGTACTCGACGGTATGAATGTGTAAGCGCAAGCAAAATCAAAATCGAAGTTACGATAGAGGTTTTACAGAATTACCAATCCGAAAAATACTTTTGTAAAAATACTATTTATTATTTTATGTATTTTTCATAATTATTATATTACTTTTGTATCAATATTTTATTATAATATTATTTTGGTGGATATTTTAATAATTTAGAAATTTATTTTGGCCCGTGGGGCCCACACCTCAAAACTCTCCACTTCCTTCTCGCCGGTCCTCCCCGAACTCACTGGAAACCTCTCCCAGACTCTCTCCTTCTCTCAGCTCTATGTTACTCTCTCACTCACGCTTCCTCTCCGGGAAACACACACACATGCCACCACGTCACCACCGTGTCCGGTGAGGCGACCACCGTCACTGCCATGCTCGAGAATCTTCTCTCTCTCGCTTAGTCTCTCCCGCTCTCACCTCCCTTAAAGTCTGTCCTCCTCTCTCTACTCTCTCGTCCCTCTCTTTCCTCTGCAAGCCCAGACATCAGGCCACCATCACCACCTGCTCAAGACTTCAACGTCCACATCCCATCATCATCACCTGCTCGTACGACCAGAACGAAGGGCCGAGCCTGGGGCTGACTTCTCTCTCTTTTTGAACAGTGACAGTCACTGTTCATCGTCTTCCCCTACGAGACCATTCGAATTGTCTTCTCCTCGCCTTTTGATGAAGATTAACTCATTTCGCGAGTGTTTTGGCATGATTAGATGTAGAAAGGACGTGAGGTCAACAAACCCAGTTTTTCGGCGAGGGATGCCGTGAGTTGAAGGCCTATTTCCGGCCGATCCCGACCATGACTCGAAGTTATTTTGGTATACAATTATTCTTCTCTCTCTGAGCTTCAAATCCATATATATTGTGTTGAAAATAGTTGTGAAATCGGGCTAATCGGAGTTGTGAAAGCTTTCCTGCCATATTTTTCCAAAAACTGGCAAACGGATCTGCGACTGGGACCAGGTCGACTCGATTTGTTTAAAAAAATAAAAGGCAGGCCCAAACCGAGAACGGGCCCAAGCCTAGATCCGTGGGCCAAACCGACCCAAATCCACTCAGAAATTGACTTTTTTTAAAATTAAATGTTGAATGATCTAAGGTGGGAATATTTCGTTAAAATTAAATGTTGACTGTTAATTGACTTTTGCTGACTTTTTCGAAATTTTTTTAGAAATCCTCATAGGCTAATTTCGACGTCCTGAGTCCATTTTTGATATCCATTTAGTGAAATTTCAAAGTTTTAACATAGTTGACCACCGGGACGTCTCGGTTGACTTTTTAGAGTTAACAGTTGACTTTTTGTTGACTTTTTACAAAATTTGCCCCCTCCTTAGTGTATTTCGACACTCTAATTCCAAATATGCACTTCATTTTCCCAAATTTAATTGTTTTAGTGGAGTTTTTACTAATAGGTCTTAATATTATGCTTAGGTGCGACTTCTATCGGAGGTTTCGGTTTTCCTAGCTCAAATGGATGTGATCTCGCCAGTACTTGCGAGTGGGTCTTTGCTTTTTAATATTATATATTTATTTAGTTTCCACATATATACTTAATAAAGAATTTTCTATGCATACCTAAATTAGACTATCGTTTATAAGAATTAGCGAAATGACGGAGTTCACGAAATTATGTTAAATCCTACGGGATGCACATGTATGTGAACTATTTTGGGATCTCAGTTAGAGCCATGATTAACATTTTAATGAATAGTATTATGTCGACTAGAATTATCTATTTACCATTGCACGATCATATTTATATTATATGTTCATCGTGCGCTACGTTGGTGTCAGTACTTGCCCGGGCCAGGCTTCATATGTATGTTCACATCACACCGCACGCTCACTTTGGATCCATTGTAGGTGCCAATCCTGTTTTATATTGCTATAAGCAATTAGGACTTGTATGTGCCAGTCCTGCACTATCTATTTGTTTATGAAAGATTATGTGATTACCGGACGTTATATGTTTATTTATGAAATATTGTGACATACCGAATTCTTGAGATATTGCAGGTTACGGTAAGTAATTTCATACTATGCATAGTATGTATATTTTGGAAATTATACTTGTTTTTCAACGAGGGGTTATTATGTTTTCGAAAAGGCTTTTACAAAACTTTATTTTTAGGCCCACTCACCCTTATTTTTTGCCCTTTTAGGTTTTAGTAACTGAGTTTTTGTATCAACGAGGATTCTTTGCAAACCTTGGTATTGGAGGCTACCTTCGATGGTATAATTCTCAATCCATTCTACTGCACTTTACTTATACTTTGACATCGCATATGGAGGGTTCATGCTCACTGGGGCACTCTTACATTTAGGCACTTTTAGGTTTAAATTTATTCACATTTTCTACATCACTACACTTTATGGATTCGTCACCCTCCTGGTGTCGGCCAACACATCTCGATTCGGAGTCCAAGTAGACATTCCGGGTCGAGGTGTGTCATTCGATATATTCGTCGATATTTTCACAAATTTGCATATTGATATTTCCATAGATACCGATATTTTGAGAGAAAAAAAAAATCAAATACCGATATTTCCACAAATTTGTATATTAATATTTTCACCAATATCAATTTTTTTACTACATCGATATTTTTACACTAAGGAGAGGGGAGTTTGGCAAAACTATACAATGAACAGTCTAATTTGGTATCAAATTGGCCATCTACGAAATTCAAAACTAAGATCTCTTATTTCCAATATTAATATTTTAAACACTAATTTCTATACGTGTCTTGGCCTGAAACTCCTAAAAAAACCAGATATCATATGTTTCAAGTGATTTGTTTTTAAACCTAAACCAAATAGGGCCCACTTTCCATTTGTGGTGGGGGGTGGTCCATGAATGATCCAGATCCTAAGCCTAGGGATCAATTGATCCGGGCCGTTGAAATTTGATCCAACGGCTACAAACAAGGGGTCCTACTTAAAGTTATAATAATTGTAGCCATTGGATCAAATTTCAACGGGCCGTATCAATTGATCCCTGGGCTCAGGATTTGGATCTGTCCATGAATACTTGCGTTTATTGTTTCTTCTTTTTCGATTTGATTAGGTTTTTCCCATATCAAATATTATGAAAGAACTTCAAAGCAACAACTAACCCTGAAATTAAGGAAAGGGATCAAGCTAATTCACCAAATCAAGGAATTCGTACCGTTGAAATTTGATCTAACAGCTATAAACAAGGGTCCACTTTAAAAGTTATAATAATTTTAATCGTTGAATCAATTTTCAACGGCACAGATTCATTTATTTGTGGATTAGGAGAAAGGGATTGTCCTAAAATTAAAGTCTCAACACATCCCATAAAAGTTAAAAAAAATTATTAAAAAAGAATAATAATGAAAAAAAAAACAAAGAAATGGAGAGAGAGAGAGAGAGAGAGATTACATGCAATTTTTTTTTTCAATGATACATAATATTGAGTGGTAAAAAAAAATAGACGTCGTTGAAAGTAAAATATTCAATAGTTGTAAACATAAGATTCACATTTATAACACTGAATATTAAGTAGCATTAAGGTTCTAAAACACGCTAGGTGCTAGTCGGACAATGGATTGGAACTTAACACATAGGTTGCTGGGTGGAACCCACGCGAACTAGGCGGATTTAAATAAATCTATTATATTTTGTATAAATAAGTGTTTGTTTATACTTAATATGATATATATATATTATAAAGTATTAGAACATAATGAAAACATAGACAACAAGCCTCTTATGATTTATTAAAAAAAATAAAATATAAATGAAAGTTATCTAATTTTTTTGTCTAAAGTGAGTCGCAACCTACCTAGGCGAGTTTAGGCAGGCTGAACGGGTGTCTAAGGTATATAGTCAAGTGCCTAAGCGATCTATACGTCCTTTTTTACTTTTCAAATGTCTAAAGCATTAATCGAGATGTTAAATGAATTTTTTTAGAACATAGTGTATATCATTGAACACGGTCCAATTGTATGCCAAAATGAGGAATGAGAGGAGAAATTTTTAGTTGTGACGGGAACACTGATGGTACACCACCTGTTTTTATGTAAGTGGTGAAAAATTTTAAATTTTAAAGTTATTAACCTTTCAACACACATATCTCACCATTTATATAGAGACACGTGGTGTACCACCTCGTGTGACGGTCACACTGAAAAAAACAGTTCAACGCAAGTTGAAAGAATGCATTTTTGCTCACCACCATTTAGTGTAATGTATGCTCACCATCATATTTATCACCGTTAGATGAGTTTGAATATTGAGATTTGTGCTTATCCACTACACGAATCTCAAAATTTAACCTTATCTAACAATGATATATAGGATGATGAACATGCACCACACTAAATTGTGATGAGCGAAAATATTCCCACGTTGAAAAAACAAAAATCAAAATTAGTAAATACTCATTTACTCTCTCGCATAACTGTCTTCAAAATTCAGATTAAAAAATAAAATAAAAAAAACAAAAGTAATTTCTTTCAGGAAAAAATAAAAAAAAGAACACTTCCCCCACTCATATATTCACAAATCACAACCATTTTCTTCCGATTCCCCGATCCCTCTCACTCACTCTCTCCCTCTCTCTCAATCTCTCCGTGTAATCTCTGTTTTCGTTTTTGTTTCCCATTCAATTCGAATTCCCCCATTTTTCGAATCGATCGGATCCGATGAGCACCGGCGAACTTCTCAGCATCGAGCCTCTGGAGCTCAAGTTCCCCTGTCAGTATAACACGCTCTCTTTCTCTTTCGATCTGTTTTTCGTTTTCTAAAATTTGCATTTAGCGGTTTCGTTTCTGCTTTCAATTTGCGTTTTTGTTTTTGTTTTTCGAAATTCTCCAGTCGAATTGAAGAAGCAGATCTCCTGTTCGCTCCAGCTCTCGAATAAGACCGATAGCTATGTCGCTTTCAAGGTCAGCCTCTTTTCTTTTTCATTTTGTTTATCTAGATACATATTTGTATATGTACACTCTGTTTGGTTGGTAGGAAAAAGGAGAGCAGTAAGATTGTGATTATTATGTATTTGATTTATTTGGAACCCGAAATATTACTGTTTCCACTCCATTGTGGTTCAGTTTATGTTATTTTACAAATATTTTCGTATTATTTTTTTTTTGTAAATCAAATAACATGAAGAATGTAGAATTCGAATCTGGTGTTTGTAAAATCTGGGGCTTTAAATTTTACGTGTGTTTTGAGATGCGGTGGAACTGAAACGCAGATTTGTCAAGTTTATAGTTTTGCTTTGGAGGTTTGATATGTATTTGATTATGTTCAGGTCAAAACTACGAACCCCCAGAAGTATTGTGTTCGTCCGAACACCGGAATTGTCTTGCCTCGATCCACATGTGATGTTATAGGTGCATAGTCATTATGTTTTCCTATGATACATACATACATACATACATACATACATATATATATATATATATATATATATATATATATATAAAATATGTATTATGGGTTTTGTAAGTTTTAATTGTTTGTTGTGATACAGTTACAATGCAAGCCCAAAAAGAGGCTCCTCCGGACATGCAATGTAAGGACAAGTTCCTCCTCCAGAGTATAAAAACTAACGATGGTGCAACTATGAAGGATATTACTCCTCAAGTGGTAGTTATTTTACACAATGTTGTTAGTAAGTAGTGATGTTTTGTGCACTTTTGCCAAGTTTTATTCACTGTGGAATTGGTTCTGTGTAGTTCAATAAAGAGGCGGGACATGAAGTTGAAGAGTGCAAATTAAGAGTGCTATATGTTTCTCCACCTCATCTGCCTTCTCAGGTTCCAGAAGGGTCAGAAGAAGGGTCTTCACCAAGGGTTTCTGCTACTGAGAATGGAAACGTGAATGGTTTTGAGTTTTCCAATGTGAGTGCTTGAGTTATGAGACTATTGGATGATTTTTTTTTTTTTTGTCTTCAGTCCATGAAAGATATTGATTGGCATGCTGTTTTTTTGGTGATTACAGGCTGCAAAAGCATTTACTGAGCTTGAACCTCAGGAGAGATCTGCAGAGGTAAATTTAATACATACAGACAACATGTCTGAGTATATAAGTCTTATATCTTATTCAGTTTCTGAATTTTGCTTATTTGTTTTTCAGAAAATCTGATACGTATGTTGTTAGGCCAGATGTCTCTCACATTGATTAATGTTTTATCATTTAACTTGTATTATTGACTAAGAACCGCGTAAGAATGTACTACAAAAATTGAAAGTTGGTTTTAACTAGTAAGCATGGCAATAAGCTTCATGGGACCTTGATTAGTATCTTTGTTTCTTTTCTAATTGGCTTGTTTTTGTTCATGGTGAAAATTGCAGTCAAGTGTTCATGGTTCAGTAGCATTCTTTTTGATAACTTGGTTTCTTACATACAAGTATATGTACAATATTACAAAGAAAATTATGTTTTACGTATTCTTGATTAGGATTATCCCATCATTTGAGAAAGGACTTCAAAATATCATGGTTTTTGTTTCTCGTTTTGTCACCTTCCATGGTTTAGTCTTCCCTGAATTTGAGGCTCGTCCAGGAATGATTTAAAGTTTCTAGACTCCACCTTTTGGTTTTTTTTTTTTTTTTTTGTCAAAGACTCCACCTTTTGGTTTATTTTGATTGTCCCTTGTATGACTAGTGTTTTCTTGCTTATTGACTGCCCAAGAGATCTGGTTGCGGCATCTCAAAGCATCATAAACATATCAGAAATCTAACTATTTTATGCTTTTAATGGGGTAGAAACTCTACTGTTTTGTTGCAAATGAAAGAGCGTATGCCTTTTTTTCTTTCAGATAGCCAGTTTTGTGTTTGACCTTCTTCCCAAAGTTGTTTCTTTCAATATCACAATGCGTAATCGACACATGATATATAAAACAAATTCACATATGTGGTTGTAATATTCCTTGTGCCCTAAGTAGTAGCTGTCAACCATATAATTAATGGTGCTTGCTGTGCTGGTTCTTATATACGTTTACTTTTGTTATTGCAGGCAAGATCACTTATTTTGAAACTGACGGAGGAAAAGAATAAAGCAATTCAACATAGTAACAGGCTTCGTCAAGAGCTGGTGAGGGCTTGATATGAACTTCAATGGAATTATATTTGTCCTCTTCTTTACCCCTTTTATATTCCTTCTCACCCTTGTGCATGCATTTTTCTCCTAAAAAACGTATGCTATATTGATTGAATAGTTCCAATTTGCAACGGTCATATTGGTCTATCCTAGAGTTGGATGTGATTATGGTTCTACTGAAACTTCATACCTGCTGATGGTTCCCAGAAGCTTAAGCTGTTAGGATGTGACCCTATAAAGATTTATATTCGAATACTATCCCTCATATGTGTCTCTCTCCACCACTAGAGCCCAATATGTGGAATTTGACTTAAAATGTTAAAGTCTCTTCGGTGTACCCCTGTTCCCAAAGGTTTTGTTGTATATTCTAACGATACAACAACAACAACAACAAAGCCTTTTCCCACTAAGTGGTGTCATGTCCTCTGTTAGATCCAAGTAAGTCTTTTTTTAGAGTCTCTTCCAAAGTTTTCCTAGGTCTTCCTCTACCCCTTCGGCCCTGGATCTCTATCCCGTAGTCGCATCTTACTCTAAGTTTTTTTTTAAAGTCTCTTCCAAAGTTTTCCTAGGTCTTCCTCTACCCCTTCGGCCCTGGACCTTTGTCCCATAGTCGCATCTTCTAACCGGAGCGTCAGTACGCCTTCTTTGCACACGTCCAAACCATTGTAACCGATTCTCTCATATTTCCTTCAATTTTGGGTACTCCTACTTTACCTCGGATATCCTCATTCCTAATCTTATCCTTTCTTGTGTGCCTACACATCCAACGAAGCATCCTCATCTCCGCTACACCTATTTTATGTATGTGTTGATGCTTTACCGCCTAACATTCCGTGCCATACAACATCGCCGGCCTTATTGCCGTCTTATAAAATTTTCCCTTTAGCTTCAGTGGCATACGGTGGTCACACAACACGCCGGATTCACTCTTCCACTTCATCCATCCAGCTTGTATTCTATGGTTGAGGTCTCCATCTAATTCTCCGTTCTTTCGCAAGATAGATCGTAGGTAGCGAAAGCGGTCGCTCTTTGGTACTTCCTGATCTCTGATCCTCACCCCTAACTCATTTTGGCCTCCATTTGCACTGAACTTGCACTTCATATATTCTATCTTTGATCGGTTTAGGCGAAGATCTTTAGATTCCAACACTTCTCTCCAAAGGTTAAGCTTCACATTTACACCTTCCTGAGTTTTATCTATCAACACTATATCGTCTTCGAAAAGTATACACCAAGGAATATCATCTTGAATATGTCCCATTAACTCATCCATTACCAATGCAAAAAGGTAAGGACTTAAGGATGAGCCTTGATGTAACCCAACAGTTATGGGGAAGCTTTCGGTTTGTCCTTCATGAGTTCTTACGGCAGTCTTTGCTCCCTCATACATATTCTTTATAGCTTGGATATATGCTACTCGTACTCCTTTCTTCTCTAAAATCCTCCAAAAAATGTCTATTAGGACCCTATCATACGCTTTTTCCAAATCTATAAAGACCATGTGTAAATCCTTTGTCCTATCTCTATATCTTTCCATCAATCTTTGTAAGAGATAGATTGCCTCCATGGTGGCAAGAACCCGAATTGGTTGTCCGAAACCCGTGTCTCTTGCCTCAATCTATGCTCAATGACTCTCTCAGAGCTTCATTGTATGACTCATTAGCTTAATACCCTTATTGTTCATGCAATTTTGTACGTTGCCCTTATTCTTGTAGATAGGCACCAAAGTGCTCTTTCGCCACTCATTTGGCATCTTCTTATTTTTCAAAATCCTATTGAAAATGTCTGTGAGCTATGCTATACCCGTCTCTCCCAAGACTTTCCACACTTCGATTGGTATATCATTTGGGCCCACTGCTTTTCTATGCTTCATCTTTTTCAAAGCTACAACCACTTCTTCCTTCCTGATTCGGCGGTAAAGGAAGTAGTTTCTACTCTCTTCTGAAATACTCAACTTCCCCAAAGAAGTACTCCTTTCATGTCCTTCATTGAAAAAATTATGAAAATAGCCTCTCCATCTGTCTTTGACTGTGTTCTCAGTAGCAAGAGCTTTTCCATCCTCATCCTTGATGCACCTCACTTGGTTTAGGTCCATTGTCTTCTTTTCCCTTGCTCTAGCTAGTTTATAGTTTATAGATATTCAACTCTCCTTCTTTGGTATTTAGTCAATTATACATATCGTCATAAGCCGCTAGCTTAGCTTCTCTCGTAGCTTTCTTCGCCTTCTGCTTCGCTATTCTATACCTTTCACCATTTTCATCGGTCCTATCCTTGTATAGGGCTTTACAACATTCCTTCTTAGCCTTCACCTTTGTTTGTATCTCCTCATTCCACCACCAAGATTCCTTTTGGTGTGGAGCAAAGCCCTTGGACTCTCCTAATACCTCTTTTGCTACTTTTCAGATACAACTAGCCATGGAATCCCATCTTTGGCTAGCTTGCTCCTCTCTATCCCACACGCATTGGGTGATTACTTTCTCTTTGAAAATGGCTTGTTTTTGTCCTTTTAGATTCCACCATCTAGTTCTTGGGCACTTCCAAATCTTGCTCTTTTTTCTCTCTTTTGATATGCACATCTCACCAACAAGCGATGTTGATTAGCCAAGCTCTCTCCCGGTATAACTTTGCAATCCTTATAAGTTATACGATCCCCTTTCCTCATTAGAAGAAAATCTATTTGTGTTTTTGCCGACCCACTCTTGTAGGTGATCACATGTTCTTTTCTCTTCTTATAGAAGGTGTCGGCTAAGAAGAGATCATATGCCATTGCAAAATCCAAGATGGCTTCCTCATCCTCGTTTCTCTCCCCAAAACCATGGCCACCATGAAAACCTCCATAGTTGCCTGTCTCCTTGCCCACGTGTCCATTCTCCTCCTATAAATACCTTCTCCGTCTGAGCAATTCCTTGCACCAAGTCTCCAATATCTTCCCAAAATTTCTCCTTCAAACTCGTATCCAACCCTACTTGAGGTGCGTACGCACTAATCACATTGATGAGTTTTTGTCCTATTACAATCTTGATTGCCATAATTCTATCTCCTACCCTTTTAACATCTACAACATCTTGTGTCAAGGTCTTGTCCACGATGATGCCAACACCATTTCTCGTTCTATTTGTGCTCGAATACCAAAGTTTAAAACCTGAGTTTTCTAGATCCTTTGCCTTAAGACCAACCTACTTAGTTTCTTGTAGGCACATAATACTTATCCTTCTCCTCACCATAATTTCCACTACTTCCATAGATTTTCCCGTTAAGGTTCCTATATTCCACGTTCCTGAACGCATTCTACTCTCTTGAACTCTACTCTTCTGTCCTAGCTTCTTCACCCTCCCCGTCTAATAGGGAGCAAAGTACTTCTTTTGTGTGTCCTTTGTAAAGTTGATAGGAGCATATGCTTCCAAACAACTTTGAGTGGAGTCGTTCAAAAAGAAGTTTATATGACCCCCCTTGCTCATTTTACACTGCATCCGGGTGCCGATGGAGATACAGCGACCCTTACTCATTTATCACTGTGCTCGGGCCACACAGCGCGCCACTTACGGATGACGCTCTAGCTTTAGCTCGATTTTGTTATGGATTCATTTTCATAAGGATTCGACGTAACCTAGGAGTGTCGGCTGTCGATTACCTGACGCCCTCCCCCTCCTCCTCTATCCGGGCTTGGGACTGGCAATGTAAGATAAACTTACACAGGCGGAGTTGTATATTCTAACGATATTAATAGAAAATCTATCAGCTCTACAAATTCATTGTGTCATCTTCTCTCCATTTCTGATATGTTTTTATTTGATAAAACGCGCACAATGAGTAGATGTATTAGTCACCCCTATGTGTACTAGGTCTTGATAAGAAGTTTGACGGTTGATCGGTTTATTTTAGCTGAGCTTGTTAATGTGGTAGACTTCCTCTTTTAAGGAACATTTTTTACTCTCGGGTTCTGTATAAGGTCCAAAATGAAGAGTAAATGACTTCTTAGTTTACTGTTTTGCATTTTTGGTATTTAGCTCTTTTGAACTACTTCTGAAGGTAGGCCTTTGGCAGAGATGCTATAGTAGTTTTCCCATCATACAAAGTAATAAACTTTGGGAAGTTACGTGCCATGTGAAGGTTCTGGATTTTTCAGATCCTTAAAACGGAAACCAAAAAGTTATGTTACGATTAGGAGTGAAAACAAATTGGAGCGGTCCTCTGTATTGTTACTTTCTTGGAGATGATTGAGGTTGTTTCTGAAGCAGTGAGAAGTCGGTTTTTATTTCTTTTACTTCTATTCTTCTACCTTAATCATGTCCATGTTAAAAATAAAAAAGGCTTTGTACCCTTTTTTTTCACGGGTTTCACGCTATTGGATTGTTAAATCTCTCGCTTCTGAAATATTGTTGTGTTTTAATTACTAAGTTATTGTGTAGGAGCTATTGAAGCGTCAAGGGAGCAAAAGTCGTGGTGGCGTTTCGATCCTTTTCGTCATTGTTATTGGCTTGATTGGATTACTTTTGGGTTATCTTATGAAGAAGTCGTAAGCAGTCTGTTACAATTCTGTTGTCAAACTGTTCCCTTCTCAGTCATTGAAGAACGATGGTGAAAGGGAGAAATTGAGGGTGAGGGCTGGTGGCTCATTTTTAGTTAGCTTTGCGAAAGTTTCGAAACTTGTTTAGCGGGTCGTCGTCGATGTTAGGCACTGGAATTCTAGATTAGCGGTGGGGACTGGTTTTCGGTAAGCTTACATTCTTTTTGTAACTGGAGAGGATAATTTTCACTTTGTTTCTTATGTGGTTCTGACTTGTGGGATTTTGGTCAACTGTATCTTTGATGGTTATTAATAATTTATACATCTCTGTGTGATGTAAAGCACGTGTTCAATTGTTTCATATTATTTGTGTTGGTTCGATTTTGTTAGTATGGTAATTAATCCGGTAGACGATTGGATTTGTAGACAAGGGCTTTTGGCCGAAATGATTTAATTTTCGACGTTTGGTTGTTGGAATGACTTGTTTTTAGAACGTGGTAATTATGTAATTCTTGTGTCGATAATTGATTTCTCATTTCAGTAACCAAATGTTAAAAGTGGAATTGGTGGACTTACCTTTCCGGTTCAACCCTCTACTCCATGTGTTCGAACCCTATCCCCGCCCCTTTATATGGTCTAAATTAGTAATATTGCTTGTGATAAAACTTCCAAGTGTTTTAAGTTTATACGAAAAAAGTGACATGGGGTTTCAGAACATTCCAAATCCCAACCTTTTGCAAACAAACATTACAGATATTTCGCCATCTGCAAACTATCAAAATTAAGAGTAGACATATGTAGTCAAATATTAGTTTCTAATTTCAAAAATGCCAGTTTTTATATAAACTTTCAAATACATCCAAAATTTCATTTAAATAGACACAAATACTCTAAAACTTTAAAATCCAATAAACCAAAAAATCAAAACCTATTAGATGAATTTCTGATGGCAAAACCTAAGAAATAGCAGTGTTCTAAAAATCGATCTAGGCGGCCACCTAGGCGCTGAACGGCGAGTTACCGCCGCGATTAAGCCCTAATCGGTCACAAAATCAGAAAGCATATTAGGCGGACGTTTGGGTGGGATTAGGCGGGACTAGGCGGGGCTGGGTGAAGTTGGGCGGGGTCTAGGCGGGCTTATGTGGAGAACGGCGGAATCTGAAAAAAATTTTGTTGCAGAGCCCAGCATCGCGTAAGGAAGAAGATGAAGCTCTATTGTCTGTTTAATTGCACGGTTTTATCATTAAGATGGTCCCCACCATCTTTTCATTTTACTTATTTTTAAATTCTTTTATTGTATTTCACTGTTGCTGCTAGTGCTAGGTGCAAGCCTAGGACTGCGTGGAAGACCTGTGTGAAGTGAATAACTTAGCAAGCTTTTTTTGGATTTCATGTTAATTTAATTGGATATAAAAGCAATTTGTAATTTGCATGCCTTTTTTACAATTGGTCGGCCTTTTTGGGGGTTAGTACCGTGGGCTTTTTGGTTTCGGAATTTGTAAAGGTCTTTTAACAAATTTGTACCAAAGCAACTTGCATAGTTTCAAAATTAATTGCTAACTAAATAATGTGTACCTTGGGCTTTTAACAGATAAGTATCTTACATTAATATATTTTCTTATTTTTCTCCTATTTTGCACTTTATATGGTTTTAAATTGTGAACTTGTTGTACATGTGTCATCCTACAATACTCCTCACTATGGTTATATGGCATCTACACTCACGACGGTAAGTGTAGATGGTTAATTTTTTATTATTTTTCCTCGTCTATGTTTTCTTTTTCTTTTTTAATTTATTCCATATTTTTGTTGGTATCCCTTTTTGGTTCTTTGGTTTCGCTAATTTTTAGGAGAGAAATAGATAACACTTAAATGTGGTTTCGCTGATTTGTGGTTCTTTGCTATAGGTTTGTATGTATTTGGGTACATTTTTATTTGTTCTCAAGTGTGACATGTCATCCCAAAATCTTCAGTTTTATAAATTTTAAAGTAGTGATTTTATGAAAATACCTTTAGAGGCAAGGATGTTTGACTTTCGTTGACCGTTCGAAGTCACAATTAGTGTTTCCAAATAGATCTTGAAGCTATGAACACATAGGCAAAAGCTAACAGTATAGTTACAGACGTTTGAAGTTGATTATTTAAAGTTAGTTAAATAATTTAAGCTCCCATTTTGTGGGAAGGAAGCCAATTAGCTTTTAGCAAGGGAATAAAGGACCAATCAATTTAAATGGAACTAAGGACCAATTAGAAAGGGGGAGGAAAAAAAAAAAAAAAAAAAAGGAAAGCCTTCAGCTTTCCCCCGACTCGTACAACCCCCACACCCAACCCAACCCAACCATTTCCGGCGAATTTCGCCATTTCTTCCATCGAATCATGACCATACAACACCTGTAACCTCTTATACAACCTTCCATCTTCCATCTTCACCCAAATTCGTGGGGTTTTAAGTCCAAAATCATCAAGAACAGTGCCGGAGCACCGGAGGTGTTCGAAGTCGATTTCATCGTTCCGGTGAGTTTCACTACCCACCACCACCCTCAATTAACTCCCTTTGGACCCAGGAACATGACCCAACCAGTGGTAGAGACATTGGAACACCGAGGTAGGAGAATCAAAGTTCACCCATTTTAGGGTTCTAAAGGGTTTGAGTGAAATTGGAGCCTTTCCCGGACAAATTGGACTTGTCCACAGGTATAAAACTTACTCTACTCTTTGAGATCTTCATTTCTGTAAAATTTGAGAATTTTTGGAGATAGTTGAATTTTTCAGCGAATCGGGGTGGCCAACCGCCGTGTGCGGCGGTGTGTAAGCCGAGTCATCCCCTGACCTTTCTAAGCTAAGTTTGACACCCCAATTCCATAGGTGAAGTCCAATTGATGAAATCTCATCGTTTGAACATAGTTTTGATAAAGACGCTACTTGAACATTATGTGAATTGGTGATCCGACCGTTGGATCGTCACCAAACTTTAATACAATATAGTATGTAATATTTGAGGATATTAGAAACTTATGGATTGGAAATCTGATGTACGGATTTTTTCAAATTAGATTTGTAAGTTAGTAAAATAAAACGTTGACTGCCACTTGAATTGGCAATTGGTGGAGATCCAACCGTTGGATTGTAATGAAACTTTAGTATGATATTTTAGAAGCACAATGTGGATCTTTAGAAGTTATGGAATGGAAATCCGAGATGCGGATCTTCCGGATTGAATTACATAGGGTTGTGGACCCTACTGTTGATCTTTGACCGACGGTTGACTTTTGGTCAATGGGTCTCAAATCATTCTAGAACGTCATTGGGATGTGTTTTATGTAAGTTACATGTTCTATTGATAAGAGTTCTGAGACGTGACTGAATAATTGTTCTAGGTGAGGATCATTCATGATGTCTCGATATTCGTGCTAAGGAGTCGTAGCGTGGACCTCTGGTGAGTGGGTCTTTTCTTTTTTATCGTATATATATGATTGATAATTCCACAAACATTTTTAAATTGATTTATGCATTTTATGCCATGTCATATATATATATATATATTATATAATCTAAAATTCTATGATATGGTTGAGTTTTAGATTGCATTATGGCATATCCATATGCATATCACCTACATATAATTGTTGTGAATGCTTTGAAGTGCTAAGGTGAACGTGGGACCCGCATGTAAGTTTAGGTGAGTTTATGGTGTTATTTGAAATGATTGATTGATGATATGACTATATTTATGTTTTATGCAACTCCGACACTATCATACAGGTTGCAATAATGGGCAACTCCGACATTGTCGTACATGTTGCAATAGTAGGCAACTCCGACATTGTCGTACATGTTGTAATAGGCAACTCCGACACTGTCATACAATTTGCAATGATAGGTAACTCCGACATTATCATACAGGTCGCAATGGGAACTCCGACACCATTGTACAGGTTGCCTATGAGTCATACAGGGTGCATTAGGCAACTCTGACTCATGTGTTATCATAGGTTGATTTATGAGTCGTACAAGTTGCGTTAGGCAACTCCAACTCGTGGGTTATCATAGATAGATGAGCACCTGATCTTATTATGCTGTTGCCGATCTGTAGTGATTTTGGATTATTTTTAGATTTAATGTTGATTTACATTTGACTTCATACTTATATGTAGTATGATTTCCTGGAAACTATACAGGTAGTGCAGCAATGGGTTATATCATTTAGAAGGTCCTTATTAAAGCTTTATACTCAGGCCCACTCACTCTTATTTTTTTTATCCTTCTAGGTTTTAGTAGCAAAGTTTTCGTATTGATGAGGATTCATGGCAAGTCTTGGTATTGGAGATTACCTTCGATGGTATGATTTTCAATCCACTTTACTATACTTTACTTATGCTCTGACGTCACATGTGAAATGGGTTCATTCCCGCTCACAGCGTACTCTCGTGTTTAGACACTTTTAGGTTTAAATTTATTCACATATTCCACATCACCACACTTTATGGCTTCGTCACCTTCCATGTGTTGTCCATCACAACTTGATTCGCAGTCCTAGTGGACAATCCGGGTCGGGATGTGTCATCAAGTGTTTATGCAATGTAGTTATTATGTAAATTGCCTAATGTAACTTTAACATAATTGCTTATGAAGTTTTTATCCAAATTGCTTTTGTAGTTGAACATAATTGTGTCCGTAGTTTTTATGCAAATTGTATGTATCAATTCTGGCTGGATAATTATCCACTTGAATTAAGGGTATTTCTGTCTATTTAACTAGGATTTTAGATACAATTGAAAGTTTTATAAAAAATGACATTTTTGAAATTAAGAGTGAATTTTTGGCTATTATTGATAAATTGCCGTTTTTAGAACGTTGTCATTATGTCATTCTTGTGTCGATAATTGATTTCTCATTTCATTAACCAAAACACTAAAATGAACATGACATAAGAAGAATTCGAAAAAAAAAACAGAGGAGGAGGAGGCAATCGTTGCTTTGTGAGACCAACCTTATGTTGTTCCCCTCTAGAATGGAAATTGATTCAGTGCGGAGGCTCAGCTCAAGCCACTAGAAAGAAACAATCCATGTCAAATGGGATAAACAAAATAGTGTAATATAACATCGTTTTATGGCGCAAGACTTCTCTCATATGCCTTGGATTGACTACATCATTATAAACGTGGTTATGACGTATCCCTAGGATCATGACACGAAATCTACATGGAAGTTTTTGAAAGACTTACATGTGCTAGTTCAAATAGTTCTAGACCACTGAACACTCTCTCGATTTAGAAGAGGCTTTCCCCAATCCGGTTGAATGTGGTATACTCGTCTAAGTGAATATTTGATTAGTTAGGGATATATATGCCCCTGCGTGTACAAAATCCAAAATTACTA